ACGACTGATAATAATATTTTTTGTTTTGTTTTGAAATGGCATCGAATATGTTAATTGAGCAAGACGTGCGAATCGTTAAATAAAACTTTGTAAAAATACTTTAGTATATACATTAGTATATACCATTTGCCGTAGAAACCCTTTGAAAAATACGGCTAAACACTTTTTAAAAGACATAATTATTCATAACTAACTACTTACTTATATACTACTATATACTAGTATAAAATTTCCTGTTCAAAATCCTGTTTTACCGGTATTAGAAGTAATGTTAAAATATTATTTTTTAGATGGGATTTATGTATCGGTCAGACAGAATATAGATATAATTTTATTTGTATCTCTTGGAGTTCAGCTTTTATTTATTAATCGACTGAGGCCCGAAAGAAGGGTTCTATATTTGACGTGTATGTATGTATTTTTGTAAGTATGTCAGACAATCTGTACCATTGTAACTCATAAACGAATGAACTAATCGATTGCCTATTGAGTGGATTATTAAAATGAAGGGTTTAAGGGGCATTCACAAAACTATATAAAATTTATAAGTTTGAGATATGACATTTATCAAAAGAACTCAAATTGTCTAACTGATCTCAACTAAAATGCTGCAAATTAAGAATTACATTACAAAAACAAAAAAAAATCAGTGCACAAAATGCAAAGTGAAAAAATCGAAACATCTACATAGGAACACAGTATGACGTATTTATGAAGTCAAGTTTTTAATTGTTGAAATTTAATATTTTACATATCATAATGTCTATTGTTGGGCACAAAGTATACTCATATTTCTTACCTAAATAAGTCTGAGAACCTCTTTGTATTTGAAGTCGATTAAAAGTACTATTTCGATTATCCTTTCTAATTACATACATCTTATCATAACGTACACGTAACGGGTGCAAAGTTTTATCCACATCTTATCTAGATGAGTATATGGTTATCTTGGGTAAATTGAAATCATAACACATTCTATATTTATAACAAAACGTTCTATATTAAATGTTCGCTCTGTGGTTGAAATTCAACGGTTCGTCCATAATTATTGAAGTGAAAACTTCTATAGGCAGGTTTGGATGGGGATTAAATACATGCAAGTCGTCATCGACATGGTCACGTGACGTGTTAACGCTAACACTATATCTTTAGCGTGTGTATTGAATGTGTGTATACACTATACAGTGCGTCATTTAAATTGCGTTTTTGTTTAATTTTTATTTTAAATTTTAAGTATGCGATTATTGTACAGTAAAAAGTGAGTATAAAATATAATAATATTTTTATATAGATATGATGATGATGTTCTCCTAGCCGATTCCGGCTACGGCGGCCAATCTCATTGAGATTAGCCAACTGCGCAGGAGATATTATAGTGCTCAAGTGTACGCGCAGACACAAGTGCACTCTCTATTCCTATCACTCTCATACTCCGGTGGGACGACCACTCGACACGACCGGTGAGAGTTAAGGCGCAGGACCGACGGCTTTACGTGCTCTCCGAGGCACGGGGGTGAAACACCGCCAATATACCTATAGTTTAAATAACAAAGAAAACGAAGTCTTTGGAGCAATATAACCTAAAAAATAAATTACCTCATTATTATTTTTCAATACCTACAATTACTATGCAATGAGCATTTTATACTAATGTAGGAGTTATTTTACTAACGTGATAAAACAAAAATAACAACTTTTTGTTTATAGTTTTAAGTTTTCACTTCTGTCGGCAGTCCTGATGACTGTTTTTTTTATTGATATCACTAAAGCTTGTTACTAGACAAAGTTACTAGACAAAAAAAAAGAAGAAAATCGGTTTACAGACGGATGAAAAAAAGGTAGGTAGGTGTTGACCTATTTTGTCATTGCCTATTTATATATGGATTTTAGTCTATAATTAAAAGTACTAAAAATAGTAATAAGTAATAACCTAGTTATACAACTACTGAAGTTATTTAATGAACATAATATACAGAAGCTTATCCAAATTTAAATTTTAAAAAATCATTTCATACCAGTTTTTTCAAATATTTATTAAAACATTGCTTAGTATAACTTTTTAAATATATATTTAGTAGATTTGTTTTTAAAACGGCAATGTCTACCTTAGGTCAGAAGATAAAGTTTGATGCGCTTTTCGAAATATAAATTCAGTACAATATTAAAATAAAAGAATGGATTTTATAACATGAAACCATTAAATCCTTAATAACTTTAAAAACAAATTCTATTCAAGATTCAGAAGAAATATAAATAAAGTAATAATTTATACTTCGATCAACAGTAGTATTGTTGATCGAAGAATTTATAGATACGCGTACGACGTATCGTATCGTACACGTTTCGTTGGATATAAACGTCTTGTACCGGCATGATAGTGTTGTTACTGGTACTGTTGATAAACTGTAATTTAATCAGTGCGCATTTAACTCTTACGGTTGGCACTTGTGTGCAAAAGTCATGTGAGAACATCGCGTCTGCATCAATAGTGTATGTTTGTTTTATTATATTTATAGTATAGAATAGAACAAATTTTATATATTATACATATTGCTTATATTATAAATACGAAATGAAAAGGGAAGTTGAACAAAATAAGAATTTGGCATAAACACAAAATAACAAAGAAAATTTTTAATTCGGATATTGTCATCAAATAGTATAACAATATCACAAACGGCTATCATTTAAGCCAATTGGTCTTAGTTATTTTTAATAATTCAACTCAATTTTTTTCGATTCAATCCTTTGTCATTTGAATTGGCATATAAGCGTGCCAGTTGGGCACAGATTACTTACACGTAGAATGGAAATGTCACCTGAGAGATTTTTCGGTAAAATACTTGTAATAAAACGCTTGTTTTTTGATAAATCTTTGACTTACAACAAACGCACAATTAAAATATATAAACATAATAAAAACCTTAATTGAATATAACTGGTTAGTACAATAATTTCTAGTTATGTTACAAATAATGTTAGTCTTAATCTAATTCTTTTACATTAATACATTTATATAGAAACTAGCAGAACCCGCGGCTTCGCTCGCGCTAAAATTACAAAAAATATCTAAAAAGGTAGTATCATACAAACTTTCATCCCCTATTTTACCTCCTTATAGAATGAAGTTAGAAAAATGCTGAAACACGTATTTATTTAATTTTATTGACGAGCATTATTACCAAATTTCAAGTAATTTTAATTATATTTTTTGGATTGTATTATTACGTGTTTTCCCGTGGGAATTAGATAATCTTCTACGGTAAAAAGTAGCCTATGTCACTTTCCAGCCCTTCAACTATCTCCACACAAAAAATCACGCCAATCTGTCACTCCGTTCCGACGTGAAAGAAGGACAAACAAACAAACACACTTTCACATTTATAATATTAGTATGGATTTACACAGAGATTTTTACAATTTTGTTAACTTATACGAAATTAAAATGAATACGTCAAAGAAAAGTTATATTTCAAGGTGAGGCGATCATCAACATCAGTGTGGGTTGGTGTAGCGTTAAACCGCAGAGTTATTGTTATGTTTTTTAGTAAACACTGTTTGAAAAATAATATTTTAAAATAACATTTCTTATTAATTCAAAGACTAACCATTCTAGAAAAATGAAAAATAGCAGTAGTAGACCAAGATAATTTAATAATTAAGGTAATAAATAGTGACGTAAATGCCATTAAATTAATTATAATCAAGAAATACATGGTGTATAAAGCAGTCATTATTTATTTACCTTGAATTTTTTACATAACTACACATAACACATTATTAGCTTACGATCCTTCTTGAACGTACTAATATTATTGTCATCCCATGGTACCCCATGCTTATTAAACGTCGAATAAAATGGCTTATGGCACCAACCTAAAAAAAATGTAGGCATCCCTATTTTTGTTGGTATCTTACTTAATTTTATATTGAAATTGTGCAAAATGCGCATGTTCATTTTAAAAATAATTTTTAACTATATTGATAATTACTAGACTCACCCTCGCTCCGCTCAGGTTCGTCCCTACTTACGTTTTAAGGTTTAGTATAGATTTCTCAGAGATGTGAATTTTTCCTGCAGTATAAAGTATCCTATTTGTTGATACAGAGAATGGAGAAAACTACTGGACAGATTTCGATGAAATATGGTATGATGATAGCTGGTTATCCGGGTTAACATATAGCAACTTTTTACTGGGAGAAAATATCTCATCCCTGAGAAATCTAACTAAACGTTAAATCCTAGGGACGAATCCGAAAAACGCGAGGGTGAGTGGCTAGTGTAACAAATAAGAATTAAACTCGTTCCCCATCGTATTTCGAATAGTTTCATAGTAAGGGCTCCCTATAAATAGGCTTCAGAGCGAAAATTATTCAAGCAACAATAATCACAGAACTTAATCGTGGTTGGTTTGTTCAAGAAACAAGATTAACAATAAAATATTCATCACTTATTTTATCGTTTGTATTTTGGAAACCTGTTATGTTGCATGAATTTCCTTAATTATCTTTAGTGCAAGCGTTGCATCAGATTGATACTCTGTATGTAGGTATATTACATTCTATTATAGTAGGTTTGAAATTACCAAACATCATAAAGATTATAAGAAAGCACATCAAATAAGCTTATTTTCGAAAGTTAGCTTTTAATTAATAGAGGCTATATTTTTCCGAACTGATGGTTGACTCACATTTAAATAAAAAAATTGTAAACATTTGATACTGAATATATTTTTTTAATCGATTTTTTTATTGTCATACATCAAATATATTTATAAGTTGGTTAAAATTCATTATCAAGGTTTGATAATATGACATTCAGTTTTTAATACTGATAAAGTTAAAAATAGGTATTAAATGAAAAAAATCAAACAACTAATTCGGTTATCTTCCACTCGATTGCAATTGCCACCAAATTTCATTTACAGGTGGTTTGATACTCATTTATGTTATTATTTACAGGAATTTTTTGGACGTTATCCACTGAATAAAAGATCAAGATGTTATGGCAAATAGTACTAGCTGGGCTATTTTGTTTTTTCCTTTGGAAACTATTTAAAGGAGATGACAATGATTTGGCGAAACTTCCCGGTCCACCAAGCTTACCGATTGTGGGAAGTGTGTTCACCTTCTTGGGATTATCACATAGTAAGTTACTGTAAACGCATATAAGTAAAAATCCCTATAGAGACTCGTGAAACTGCAACATTTGGTAATACATTTCGATATGTGCGTTTTATTTTGAGATTCACGCGCTTGTTCTGAGATTGTCAACAGTTCAAGTCGGAAAAAACCGGTTTTATCAACGGTCATTGCTTACAATACGTAGTAGTGTACCTACCTATCTTTGCACGGTTGTATAAAGCTTTAACTATGTAGGGATATTTACTTATGTGCTTAAAGGCCCTCTTCAGGTTTATAAAGGGTTAGTGAAAACAGTATACATGAACACTCACGGCCTTTACATGACCGCTATAAATATTTGTTTAGAGCGGGGTTAAAACCCGTGTTCTATGGCAACCATTTAAAGCAATAGGTTGAGGTAAAAAATAAGGAACATTTTTTTAATTTTTATTTATTTATTTAATCATTTATTTCAGGCAATATTTACAAAAAGATCTTAAATATGTAAACAGAGGCCCATAGCATTATATATACTTTAAAACTAACATATATATTAATTATAAAAACTTAAACTATTTGACACGTAGTGCAGACGTTCATCCCTTTTATATAATACTTACTAGTATGTACGTTTTCAAAGTAATTGTAAACATTTTTTGAAACGGTTTTTTTACATTTTCAACCTACGGCCGCAGCAGAGCTCGCGCTAAAACTACAATTATAAGATAAAAACTTTCATCCCCTATTTTAGCCTCTTAGGGGTTGAATTTTAGAAAACGCTGAAATAAAAAAATATTTTTGCCGTACTCAGTACTTAGTGGATGTCTTCGTCATATGAGGAATACGTGTGCGAAATTACAATTTTCTAGCCTTAAGGGTTTGGTCTGTGCGTTGATATATCAGTCAATCACTTTTGCCTTTATATATATAGATATCTACTATTATATCTTTATATTCATTATTTTTTAATTTAGTAAGAATTTTAAGCATATAACATAAACAGGTTTAATGTTAATAACTGCTTTAGTTAGACAACTGAGTCTAACAACATGCTACAAATGTACCTATAAGTTAAGTTGAAATAATTCGTTTAATACAAAAAAATAGCAGGTTTTCAAATATCAAAAATACAGAAAAACTAAATATTACAAAAAAAAATAGAATTTATTAGTAATTACAACAGAAAAAAATATGAAAGAAGTGTGTGTGCGTGTAATTGTGTAAATTTTTATGATATTATGTGTAATATGAGCTTGTGCGAGTATTATACCTATAATAATAATAATAATAAACTCTTTATTGTACACCAAGAATAAAAGAAAAATAAATAAACACAGAGTAGAAATGTATAAGAGGCGGCCTTATCGCTAATACAGCGATCTCTTCCAGGCAACCTTTAGGTGTAGGAGATAGCAAACTGCAAGAGGGAAGGAATAGGAATACCTATGTATGTATGTGCGATATGAGATCTATGTTTTTCAAATTAGAGAATTAATAATTTGTTTAGTCGCGAGTTATGTTATCGGGACGTGGGTTGTAATGAAACAACGTTTTTCGTCGAAACGACAAGTACAACTTATTTTCTAACGTTTTATAGGAACATGAGTGTGGTAGTGTGAGTGGGTTCCCATCACAAAAAGGACCCTTAAACTATTTATGCGTAATTGACATTACATTCAATTGTTTTACATGTACATTGTTTACAATAATAGATCCTTTTGAGAAAGATCTAAAAAGACGATACATTCAATCCATGATCTTATACTTTTATAAACTCATTGCATTCAATAGATACATATAAGATCCTTTCGAGAAGGATATCTCAATAGCCCACGTGTTGGGTTACGTAACTCGCGTCATAGTTTATTTAATAAGCCATTTTTTTAACTAGATTTTATAGCATTGATAGAGACAGTAGACATTAAAGTCTTTATTTATCTAATATCTTACAAGCGTGCTCCTGCGGCTCCGCCCACATAGTACACTAATCACCAACATATACACTAAAATCTTCTCCGAAACACGCTGCATCTTATGGTATGAGTATTATTCCGATCGGTTTAGTAGTTATCGCAGTATAACCGAACGAAAAAATCGGCTCTCCATTTATTAGTATAGATATACATAATATGGGACTCAAGTTGTAATATTGACGATTTGCTGAAACAATGCGACGTGGTTCTAAAGAGCGTTTTTGTTGAGATATTAACACAGCACCATCTAATTCCATGGTAAGCTACGAGGCCTGTGTTATGGTTACCAGATAGTTGATACACTACAGATATATAACTTTAAATACATACACATTATAAATATAATCAGTTAATCACCCATGACTGGAGTACAAACATTCGTTCTATCACACAAATGAATGCCTTCAGCGGGATTCGAACCCGCGACCGCTGGCACAGCAAGTACGGTCACTACAAACAGCCAAACGTGTCGTCAAAAAAGTATTATTATGTAGGTATATAAGATGACTTAAGGAATAATTTTCAATGATTTTTATTTTATTATAGCAGTTATTATGTTTAATCATATTAAAATATTATTTGGTAGATAAAAATAATTATTGAGTTTCGTTTTTGGATTGCATTCGTTGGATTCTTTTCCTTTAACGTCTGAAACTTACACACATACACCGAATACGACAGACTGTACATTATATATGGTACAGTAATTTCATGAAAAAATATTCCCAATGGGAAATTATTCATTTTTCTTGAAATAAAATACACTATGCTCCTTACCTTTCTAACATAATAGAAATACTATTGCTAACCTTATAAAAATATTTCCATTAAAATCTCGGCCATTTTTTTAGATTTACTTTAATGTATTATTTTCAGAGAAAATATATTTTTTAGCTACTACATTTTGAATATAGTAAAATTTGGATTATTCATCAATATATTATCTATTTTTCTTGGTATAACAGAATTCAATTTGTTTCATCGATCAAAAATTCTGATTTTATTTCATTAACTAGCGACTCACCATCGCTTCGCTCGGGGTCGTCCCTATGAATGAATATATATATATATATATATATATATTTATTTATATATATAATACTAGCATTGCCCGCGGCTCCACTCGCGTTTAGTTAACCAAAAACCAAATAAAATAGCGCTATTGTTTTTTTTTCAAGATAAGGTATTTTTAATGGTTTTTGCCTTATTTAGTAAGCTACCTTGCTAAAATATATGTAGTATCATCGTGGTTTTAGTCTAACCTGTTTTTGTATTTTTTTCTCAGAAATGAGATATTTTCCTGCGGTAAAACGTATCCTAATGTTGACCCGGATAATTAGCTATGACCATATCAAATTTCATCAAAATTCATCCAGTAATTTTCTGTAATGTGGTAAAAGACAGACAGACAGACAGAAATTTTAAAAACTATAGATTGAGCCTCTGTATCGATAATAATGTCTATTTCAATAACATTTTCCAAAAAATATTTAATGTATAGATTCGACTTAGGTAGAATTTTATTGTATGTAAGTACCTATTTAAATAGCCACATATTTGTAATCCATGTGGAGTTTAAATTGGGCAAAGTTATTTAAATCTCTATCGAGCTTTTACAGCGTGCAGCTTAAATTTAAATACAAAAGTGTTGCTATTATTATTACAAGCATTGTTTTCATAATTATGTAGGTAATTTGAATTTAAATATAGGAATGCCAATATTGATGGTTTATGCAAATGTGTAACATAATTACGTACATACATATAGTTACTAGTGTTTCCCTGCGGCTCTGCTCGCGTAGTTTATGTATAATTAGCAACTTATACTCACTACACTTGTGTGCGTCCGTTTATTTGTCATATATTTTAATGCTTTATTTCTGTTTAGTTACTACGCCAATAAAGCAGTTTAACTGCTCCTTTTCTTCGGATTTTAATTAAATTTATTGATTTTTTTACAGTAACCTCATTTTTATCGCAATAAAAAATTGGCTTTAGCCCTCGGCAGTAATATAGTCTCCTGTTAGTGAAAGAATTTTCAGAATCGGGTCAATAATTTTAGAGATTACATATAAACTTAGAAACACGTAAAATTATAAACTTTATCTCTTCATAATATTAGCATAGATTTTTCATTCCCAGGCGATTTTCATTATTTTTAATAAAAAAAAATATTACCAATTTTGTGTAACTTTAAAAATAATGGATTTTTATACAAATTTCCAACCCCTATTTAAATATCTTTAGAGGGTAAATTTCCAAAAATTCTTAATAGCGGGCTTACGCCCTATTAGATCCTACCTAGTACCTTTCGAGTTTACAGCATTTATAGTTATGAATTTTTTTTATTAATCAGTGAGTGGTATTTCTCTTAGTATATAGAATATAGATAGTTTTGGGCCTGGGGTTTACACGCGTATATATTTCTGTAATTGCGACCTTTTTATGGTGACCCCTGCTTTACTAGGTTAGGTTAGTTTTAGGTTTTTTTTTTTTGCTTTTTTTAGGAGTTCTAACATATTATACGTATACTGTTTTATTAAACAGAAGTTTTCTAATTAGATACAATAAAGATATTGGTAAAAATAAATGCTTTTGTTATATTATTTTATACAATCTTTTCTCGTGGCTTCGCTCACGTTCAAACCAAAGAACAATCTCTGTGTCTTTATATATTACTAATATTATGTTGGCTAAAACGATTGTCTGTAAGAGAGTTAAAATATCTTAATGTATTGTAGAATAAATACAAGTTAGTGTTAATGTATATTATAGTTCAAGTTACACGTTACGTAGTATTTGCATATCTTTTACATTTGAATTCAAGTACGATTTATTTCTATTCTACAAAAATATGCAAAGTAAAAAATGGTCAAGGCTGCGTGAGACTAGCATAACGTAGGGTTCAATAAAATATGGAAATTTGAATGAATTTTAAAACTTCCTTATATAAATAAATATGTTGGGACATTAACATACAGCACCACCTAGTTCCACGATAAGCTACGAGGCCTGTATTATGGATACCAGATATTAGATACACTACATACA